CCGTTTCTTCTGAGTGTGGAAATGTGGCCATACCTCTACCTGTGTTATGTCTGTCTGTGTCCTTACTGAGGAAGCTCTCTTCTCTGATGCTCAAAGGAAAGTATGATGCCCTCCTGTCAGTTGTGAATGGCAGCTTCCTCCCCCTCCTAAACCAGTGCCTCTGACCATTAACCTTCTCTCAGCCAAACTAAACCTGACTCTGTGATCTTAGTCTTTGTTAGTTTTTTTTTTTTTTTTTAAAGAAAATTATTTTAACCATTAGAGACCTTTTATTTTCCTGGATAAAAATGATATTATGGAATAAGTCCTTTTTTTTTTTCATTTTATTTTTAAAATTGATTCCAGTGTAGACATTTTAATGCAGTAAATTGACATTTTTCATTTCTCACCTTACGACTGAGTTGTGTGTCCTGTGGAAACTATATAAAGCAGCACACGTAGAGAATGTCTCCCTAGCTACCCATTCAGCATAATCAACTCTTGTCCAATAAAACTACATCACTCTTGCTATGCACTGAAGTTACTGTGTCTGTCTGAGGAATGTTGTGCTTGTTTTTAATGCTTTTTTTAACACTGATATAAACCTTGTGCTTGTTTGGAATCTTCAGCAAACTGTGCAGATTCTAGTGTAGACATTTTAATGCAGTAAATTGACATTTTTCATTTCTCACCTTACGACTGAGTTGTGTGTCCTGTGGAAACTATATAAAGCAGCACACGTAGAGAATGTCTCCCTAGCTACCCATTCAGCATAATCAACTCTTGTCCAATAAAACTACATCACTCTTGCTATGCACTGAAGTTACTGTGTCTGTCTGAGGAATGTTGTGCTTGTTTTTAATGCTTTTTTTAACACTGATATAAACTTTTGTGTTTGTAAAAGTATCCAGCCTCCAGAGTTTGTCTACAGTTATACTGTACAGTATATTACTGTACATACCACCGTCAAAGAAAATGTTATATTTAGGTTCATGTCTTGACCTTGGAAATAGCATTTGAGAAAGCACCCTGTTGGATCTCAGTAAGGTACATTTATCATATCACATGGTCTTCATCAGCTGATGCTCAAGATTTTTTCTTTTCACTAACATGAATATGAAGCCCTGGCATTGAGGGGGAGGGTTGTTGATGTGATGATGAAAATCACTGAAGTGATAAAAAATGAACTCTGGAGTGAAGATGAATGTTCATACAGTTTCATACTTCATGACAATCCATCCAATAGTTGTCAAATCATTGTCACCCTCGTGCTAGCACAGTGAAAACTCAAGACTACTTAACTACGGACAATCTTGTGATTAATTGCAATTAAATATTTTAATTGATTGACAGCACAAAAAATTTGAATAAAAGAGAATGTAATAAAACTTACTGAAACTGAAAATCTGTGAATGGTTAGAGAGCTCAAGATTTTTTCTTTTCACTAACATGAATATGAAGCCCTGGCATTGAGGGGGAGGGTTGTTGATGTGATGATGAAAATCACTGAAGTGATAAAAAATGAACTCTGGAGTGAAGATGAATGTTCATACAGTTTCATACTTCATGACAATCCATCCAATAGTTGTCAAATCATTGTCACCCTCGTGCTAGCACAGTGAAAACTCAAGACTACCCAGATTAAACAGGAAATTTACAGTAAACATCCACAATTCCATGACAAATAGGCAAACTGCATGTGGTGTGGAAGGTCATGTGATATGCTCCAAATGGCCACAGGGTGAGATTTTCTCAAAGTTAAAGCTACAGTAAGTAATTTAAGGAAGCACTAGCATAACACTCTGCTCCGCCCGGCACTCCCTCTCCCTGCTCCATTATGCTCTATGTGTTTGCTACACTACGCCAAGCTCTGCCCAGCTCTTCAGATATTTGTCATTTTGAAATTACTAGGGCTGTCAAAGTTAACGTGATAATAGCAAGTTAACACCACAAATTTTACCAGATAGTTCTCTTGAAAAGTCCAAAGTTATTTGTATTTACCGTCAATGTGAACCGAGTTACTACTGGAGTATGTTGAGTCTCAAATTTCACTTGCTGGCCAAGCACACAGCTAATGCAAAGAGCCCTTCTCCCCCCTCGCCACACGCAGACCACACTGGATAGTTTGAAACAAAAACACCTGGACAACTCTACAAGCCACAAACTTTGAATAGCAATGGCTACATTGTGGTTGATGAGGATCTGTTCAAAATAATTTGCATCACATTCTAAGACTGCACATATGAATTGCCTTTGAGAACCAACACTCTAACCAAGATACACAACTCGTATAAAGCAAAGAAAGCTAAAGTGAAGGAGGCGCTCACTGGAGACCACTGGACTTCTCTCAGTAATCACAGCTACCTCAGGGTCCCTATAAGATACATTTAGAGCCAGTGATGGAAGAAGCACTCAGATTCTTTACTTAAATAAAAGTAGCAATACAACAGTGTAAAAAAATACTCTGTAGAAATCCTGCATTCAAAATGTTACTTAAATAAAAGTACAAAGGTAATATAGAAGAATAAAAAATTACAAAACATTAATTTGCAATTAATGCAGTTTTTCTCAAATGCTAAAACACATGTAGCTCTAAAGATTAACTATAGGATAAAATGTGCATTAAAAATACTGGTGAAATACTTACTAGTGTTAGTCAAGACTGACTTCAATCATGATCTGTCAGCCCCAATGCCGAGTTATATTTGAAGCTGATTAGAAGCTTTTATCCATTGTACAGTACAGCGCCATAGGTCTGTTTCTCATAGACTGTCATTGCTATCATCTCTGAGTTTGTGTCAGGTCAGTATGAATGAATGCACATCAAAGCTCTTCCAGTCATTTAAGCTAGTTTATTTCCATCCTGATTCTTAAGGTAATCGTAAACCGAAAAAGTCAACTGTCACCTACTGCATCGATAACATATATCTGGAATGTTTTGATTTAGCATAAATAACTTATGTAAAATATTCTTTCAGCAAAATAATAATTACATAATAAAATACTGTACAGTGTTTTGCACACAAATTAAGCACTTTCAACAAAACAGTATTTGTTCCCTAGAGGCAGACATTTATAGTTGTGGAGCTGATCGTTATGGCAGTTTAAATAGCACAAGGGCTTCAGGAAAAATATAAAAATAGAAATTATTGTATGTAAGACAATATTTAGAGGCTGAAGATGAGGATTTTGTAGCAAGACAAAGTAGATTTAAGATGAATGAAGAGCAAGATAGAATGATTAAAGACCTTTCTTATTTGATATTGCTAGATAGCAGTTTAGTGAAGAACAAGCCAGTAACATATGGAAGTGGTGGGTTTTCAAACATTTTCAAAAGGTTTTGAACTTTTTTTTGGCTGAGGTTTGACTCATCCCAGACTGTACTAGGAAAACAACACATTTTTCCTTTGTCTTCATGATCAAACTTCTAAAGCATTGCACATAACAAGTGGGTAATTAGCTTGTGGTATATTTACAGTTTAATACAGTGCAATAATATAGTACATCTGCAGCTTTCAAGTGTTCAGCAACAGGTAGGTTCACAATGGCTGCATTTCAAAAAACCTTTACGTTCATCAACTCTTCTGGTAATTGTTTTTAAGTACAGGTTACTTGCTCTTATACTCCTTCAGAGCCTCCCACTGTGGCAGTCTAATACACTGGAACACATTAATGACACGAGTAGGGCTTGTTACAGCAGCTACAGTGTTGATTTGGACATGTTGTTTGCTTGCTATGCTGAGGGTCCTCTAGAACTCGTGCTGTTTTTGTCATCCTGGCCTCGTCGTGTTTGAGAGCGGACCCTTCTCACTCCTAGACTCTCCTTGGTGAGGTTCCCAGTCAGAGCAGCATCATGGACCTGCTTCATGTTCTCCTGAACTTCAGCCTTGGCATGCTTCAGCAGGTCAGCCTGGCCCTGGAGAGTAGGGGAGCGATGTAGAAGTGGAGGGAGGGGGGTTGAAAGAGAGAAAAATTATGAGCAACTAGCTAGTGACCAAAACATATTTTGTTGATCTACTACAAAACAGTGTGCGCCACTAACCTTAAGGATGGTGATGTTCCAGCTGAAACTCTCCAGTGCACGACTGACCTTGCGACCTTTCAGCCCCTCCTTCGCTGCCAGGTTCTGCAGTTTCTCGTGAAATTCCATGGCTAGAGCCAAAAATAAGCACAGAAACTTAGAGGATGGCACCTTGTGCTATATAAAAAGAATTAGAAGACCAAGCTGTGAGGGAATGCACTGACTTTTTGGAAACTGGATAACTGGTCAACTTGACTGAATAGATAATAAAAGCATTCATGTTTCCCTTATAGATGTAACTGTGCTTAAGTGAGAATACCATCCAAAATAGAAAGCACTACATTTGTACTGATTAAAGACTATGCTAGCTATATGTAGCCTAAGTCAGTATAACGCTTTGGTCTAGACCAAATACCTAAAAAACTACATTTCGGCCTCAACTGTACTTTGTGTTACAGTAAGTGCCGATGCTACCATGCTAAGATAACATGGCAGTAACCTGGTAAACATTATGCCTGTGTTACATTAGGTTGGTATCATAGTAGTCATTCAAAGACTGTTAGCATTTTGGTCAAAGCACGGTTGTGCCCATGTCCAGCCTCACAGAGCCCCAGCATGGCTGTCAACTCATCTTGTTATTACTTAGGGTGTAAATTCACATCTGATGAAAATGAAACATCTTTAATAAACCATTTTGTTGGCACAGCAAGGTTTATTTTTAAGTGTTCCAGGACATTGTTCCACTGACGCAGTGACCTTTAGCTGTAGCCTCTCATTCCCCACAGACTAATATACATTTTATATCACCATGTGTTAATTTAGCTTGCTGTATTTCCTGGATGTGATCACATATAATTTAACTTTAGTCACTTAACAACAGTGCATGCTGAAGCATTATCAAGAGAGTACTGTGGCTATAATTAACTAGGGACATAGGGAGGATTGTGATTTCAGTGTACTCATCACTTAAAGCTGTGCATGAACCACTCCTTTCTTTTCAGGTCTTGAAGCCCTCCAACCACCTTTATTTGGCCAAGTATGTTACACACAAGGAATTTGTTTCTGGTACAGAACCGAGGCAGCCATCTGGGGCGCCAACTCAACCGATGGCTCTAACCATCGGGGGCAACGGGAGGGTTCAGTGTCTTGCCCAAGGACACTTCAACACATGGACTGGAGGCACCGAGATTCAAACCTTGAACCTTCTGACTGGGAAACAACTGCTCTACCCACCGCACCACTGCCACCTCCACACTACATGATTTGACAAACCACCACATGTTACACTATAACAAAAAGCTCTAATGACCCAAAGAAAGTCAATCACTCAATCTTGCATTTGCGTAGCCCTGTGTTCTATGTGCACTGAAAAATGAGGACAAATGTAACTAGACAAGTTCTATTTAACCTTGGTTGTGAAAACAGTCAAATGGATTTGCCTGTATCGTGCAGGCTTCATGCTGTTACTTGTGTGTGTGTGAGATCAGTAAACCACAAAAAATTCAAGTGACTCACTTTTGTATTCATTATGGCTTGTATCATTCTGAATGTCAAAATGCATCACTGCAGTGTGTGCGTGCGTTCCAGTATTTAGGAAAAGGGCTCGTCTCTCTCTGGCTATTGAGAGTAGGTGTGTGAGATTCAATATGTGGCTCTTGCGCAGTACATATCACACACTGATTATTTGAAACTTCAGCTAAAGTTCAGTAAGAAAGATATTTTGCTTTATTATTTATTAAAAAATTGCTGCAATTTCTTCCTACTCTTCTCTGTCTCTTGTGGTTTCCCACGCTGTCCAAATTCCTATGTTCACAAATTCTGATGTCACCATAAAAATCCTTCTGCCTGTGTCACTCCAGCTGATTGGTCAGGATTTCTCTGACCCACCTGCAGGCTTTACTCTGACCCACCAGGAGATCCTGTCCCATCTTCTCTATCTTTACAGATCCACACTTAATGTAGAAGCTACATCTATGAGGTCTAGCCAGCAAACTGGGGTAACAGAAGTATGTATTGTTATATGTTTCGAATTAACCTCTCCTTACTAAAATAAAAACTGATGCCAGGACTGGGCATTTGCAAACTGCACACTAGAAAACAAGTGGGGCAGAACATGACCCTTAATCAATGAGTTAATGATGTCATTTTAACCATGTAGTAAGCTGCAGATATCACAGAGAGAGATGAAGTAAAAAACTAAAAGAGTGATGAAAAATTATGTAAAGTGGATAAAGAAATCTGAGAGAGACATGAAAGACAGAGAGAAAGAGAGACATGCATCATAGAAGTCAGGCCACTGGCTAGTTAAGAGTGTGCTCAAAGAGTTGTGTAGTGTGTCTAGCTTCCTCGAGCCACCCTGGGCCACTGTCCCACTGTTACCATGGAAACTCGGAAGTGGGTTAACATGGGGCACACAACACTGTGAGCCATCAACGAGAGGCCAGACATTAAGCACGCCAAGTTGTAGACCACACACACACACACATACACATACACTGAGGAAAGAGTAAATAGATGGGATGCAAGTATAATTGACCAGTTCCTCACACATTTTCCCTTTCTGTCACTAAATGTCTGCAAACACGGACACACACCTGTGCACACATATGTTGTCACTGCTCTATACTCACACACACACCTACAGAAGTTGCCTGAATAATAACCTTTACTGCATGGTTGCTAGGCAACTCGAAACCTACGTGCCAATGTAGTGTGTGTATATGTGTGTATTTTTCTGTGAAAGTCAGCAAAACCAATGGATGGAACATTATTTTTGAGCAAATACCGGGACAGGATACACACATGAACACACAGAGAAGCAGGGGTCTGACCTAGAGGCCAAAGTAACCTCCAGGGCCAGCAAATCAGGAGGTAACAAGAAGCACATCATTGTCACCTCCTGTCCTCTATCTGAACTCTGAGCAACTGTGATGACAAAGGGTACACTGACAAATATGATTTCTAGTTTTATGTTAGGAAGAAACAACTAGGCTATGAGTATCTCATAACCTTTCAGATGTATATATTCTGATGCAAGTGTTAGCATTATAGGGGGCAGGGCCTTGGTGGAACAGCTGCTGCTCAAATACAGTTCTCAACATGTTAGTTCACTCAAATTAGAAAAAAAAACAACATTCAGATAGATGGGCGACAAATTAAAAGAAAGAATAACATGTCTTCATGAGGTTGAACCTCTACAGGCTACCACAGCAGCTTCAGTGCTCCTTGGTCTACAAGTCTCCAAACTGTACTGGAAGAACAAACAGCATTTCCCCAAAAGATATTACTTGGTTTGGCATGTTGATGATGGTGGTGGAGGGCACATCACCCATAGGTGTACAGTTTGGTCATGATCTAGTGGGTGTGAGACCATTTAATAGAACTAATGTCATTTTCTTACCCAACCATTCACTGAGTCTGTGCTTCCTGTTGGTATTGCACCCCTGTTATTTAGGGATACTTATCAAAAATGTTTCAATATTGTGTCTATTTTAAAAAAAGATATTGTTCAGTATATTGTGATCAGATTTTTTTTTAACTCTGAAATGTCTATATCAGTCTCCCTCAGAAGTGCATTATTACTGGGGTTCTATCAGTTAACCTGTAGTGGTCATCCTGAAGATTGGATTTAACATATCTGTCTCTAAGGTGAGGTGTATGGAATTTTACTGATTGTGAACACAGCACTGAAACATTCAACAGCAGCTTCTCTGTCCAAAAAAGTATCCCTGTTACTCTGAACAATGCACAGACTAATTGTGATCAGTTTTCACTGGATGTGTTTTCTGCTTGAAATCCCAAGTCCACAAGCAAACTGCTAACAGTGTCTTTGGTGAATTAGCCACAGTGACGTTGTGAGTGATGGGGACTTTGTTTCCAGGAAAGACCATATGTGTTGTTGAAATCCTTTTAACTTCACACCCTGTGAAAATCTGATCTGTACTGCAGTACACCATGCCAAAACTGCTGGGTGTGGTTACAAGTGCAACAGTGCACACGTCTTACCACATTCAACCACAGTGCACTGTGTGCAGTTGGAGGCAAAACAGACCTGAGACTTTCAACCAGAAACAGAAAGAAAACGCTGCTTTTTGGCTTGGTGTTGCATTCGTTTTTAAAACATTTTTACATTTAAAAAGGACAAAAATATCTGACCAAATAAAGCCAGCACTATCTGTATGGTTATGTACAACTAAATGCAAAAAGTGTTTTTGTAATTTCGGAAAACCAGCCCATTAACACGCCAGGACATCATGATAACAATGTGATTTCACTCTCTCTTCTCACTTGGTGATCTTTCTTCCTCTCAGCGTCTCCTCTAGCTATCCATCTCTGCCACTCATCTTCTCCCTCTCTGTTTCATCTCTCTGCTCTGATGTAACTTCCAGACATCCATCTCTGTCACCATCCATCCCATGGCTACCTCTGAGTGACCTGTTTATGCTTTCCTCCCTGCCCACCCTCTGTTTCCAGACGGAGAGATGAGATTGCCATCTTTACTCTACAGGAAGAGCTTTGTTCACAAGATCAGGCCATGGGCTCTGCAGCAGCTCTTTATCAGATGAATGTACTGGCACCAGGGCAACACAGGACTGAAATATCATGCCTTAAAATCTCATTTTATTTTTCTAATTGTACTACATGTGATCACATGCGAAATAAAACATCCATGACGGGGTATATCTGGTGTCGCAGTAGTGGTTGCCCTGTGCAGAAGTCATAGCTGCAGTTGAATATATCACAGCTTATTTGATCAGCGAGCAAAGTTTTGGCCCCAAAAAACCTTGAATGAAGTTTAGTGGAGGATCAAATGTGTCATCTGGGAGCAGACTTAAACAGTCTACAAACAAGATTAATCACAATACACTCTCTTTCTTCAGAGTGGCCCCAACTGAACCATCAGCTTCAAAGTCAGCACAGAGAATCACTACAGTAGCCTATATAATGTGAATGTGTTTCTTTTCTGCACCAAGCATCAATCATACTGTCTCCTGGGTGACAGCTGATTACTGAATGTGTGTAGGTGTGTGTGGGGGGGGGTGGTTGTATTGCTGCAACAACAGGGCCTGGCTGAAGTAAACAAACCTCTGCTAAAGATCATGGAAATGATATCAGCAGGTGAGAGATCATG